CACAGATCTTAGTTGCTCAACTGAAAAATGAACTAATGAAGAAGAAGAAATAGCAATGGATGGATGGAGGCACTTATCTAAGTTTAAAGATAAATATATAATTCTATTTAATGTGCCCCACCAGATTCCATGGTGTTGCAACCCACTTAGTGAATTTTTCTAGTACCTATATTATTTCAGCAGTCGATTTAATCTCACCTCTTTCCAAAAGACACCTTAACTCAAAGAGTGATTACTATGGTGATTTCTAAACTGCTATATCCATGGAGTCTACTTAACCTAATGTGAAAGGTCCTTTTTTTGTCTTTCCCATTTTTCTCATTACCAGAGGAAAACATTTTTGTCTCGAACAATGGCTGTATACATAAGCACAGATTGATTAAGTTTAGAGGATTTGTACTGTTGTTTTACAAAGTGGTGTCAACTTGCAATATGACTTTTTTTATGATGAATAGGTTTCCCAGGCCAAAAACCTAATGACATCCACAGCTTCTGTGCCTCCCACACACATGCGGTCCAAAAGGCCACTGATAATTTCTACCAAATCAAGACCATAAAGAGAGAATTTATAATCGGCTTTAATGTATTTGGGAGCTAAAGTACCTTAGTCCTTCATCAAAGGGAATGATAAAAACCAGAATTAATATGAGTGGACATTTATTATTTCTGAGCTCATAAGTACTCTTTAGCTAACTGGACAGGGGTTATTTCTCTTATTTTGAGCAAAGGAAAGCCATCTGCAAGCATACGGTAGTCAACTATTGAGATTTTAAAATGCATCACGTTACTTCCTTAGCGTTGGTTGCAATACAAATAGAACAAATAGTTGAATAATACTTTAAATAATGTAAGAGCTATTTTTAAATTAAATTAGTAGAGAGTTTGTTAGGAGTTCCTCCTGCACACAGCATTCCTTTAGCTTTTGTAGCAAGACTATTCATTGCTTTTAAAAGACATAAAAGGCAGTAATTGCTTCTTCCCCTTTTTTAAACTGACTTAGGAGTCTACTTTGATATAAGCATTGATGAGAGTTATGGATATGCAGCAACATGAGACTAAATGAAACTGAACTTAGAGAGCCTCTTGATAGGTAAATCATCTTTGCATCAGCATTTTAGAGGTTTTAGTATCCTCCATTCCCCCTGTTATTTATGGTATCTGATTACTTTGTTGATATTTAATATTTATTGCATAAACTTTAGCTAAATTTTAGGCCAGTGCTATAAGGTAGCGTATCTATTTTGAAGGCTTATGTCTTAAACATAGTAAAATGGTATTTTTGTCATGTGCATCCATTTTGAACTGAAATGTTTGAAGAGGAGGAATAAGTGGGCCTTCACAAAAGGTGGATAGAAGCTACAGTGGAACAACAGTGGAAAGTACTTTTGGCAATTATAATTCTGTAAAATGCATATTCTTTTTTGTTTCGTTGTCTCCTAGTCCATCATGTCTTCGTATCAGTATTTTTAAAATTAGTTTCTGTTACCTGAGAAGAATATTAAAATTATGGAAGGACCCTAAAGAATCATATATTGAATCAACAGGGCTAAAGAAATAAATTTAGTTGAGGCATACATTTAGTTAACAAAATCATAAACTTTCTGTAGAATATTAATTCAAACCTGCAGAAAAGAAAATTTATACACCTGCTAAGCAATTTAAGTCCTGATTTGTTTTTGCTTAAAAAGGCTATTGCTGTTACATTTTCTAGGATCTTTTAATGAGATATTATTTTGTTTATCTGATCATGGTTTCAGCATGTTTTCCTATGTAAGGACTCAAGACGTCAGTCTTTCTATACAATCATACAGCCAAAGCGATGCTGTTAGTCAATGTAGTCTGTTATCCAGAGCCTGACAGGTAAAAGCCATTTCTTACTGATTTTTAGAATGACAATAATTGCTGAAACAGGTGGAAGTCCAATCCACAACTTGTCTTAATACTATTTCCATGATTTCAGAAAATTTATTCAGCAGCCATACATGAAATAGGCGACACAGAACATAAGCAGTCAAGCTCAGAGCTCTGCTTTCTCTGTGAGGACTCAAGATTGAGCCACTTGTTGCTGTATGCCATTTTAGATAGCTGTATGCACAAGGGGTCTTGAGATGATGTTTCTTTTAAGGATTGCAGGGCAATTTAAAATACAAATTGTGTTTCATGGCATGTCTGTATGTATAGGTAAAGTATAGATAATAGGTAGGTAGTTTCATGCCTGGTACGTGAAGACCAAACTCTGCTTTGGTTTCTAGACCTCAGAGAGCGTTGTAACTCCAGGAAGCAGAAAATCTGTCTGAAGCACTTTGGTCTATGTTTCTCCAAGCTAGCTGTTGCTGAGATGTAATTAAGGCAGTCCATTATATTTGCAGACTGAAGTGAACTTGTGGCAGAAATCACGTCTCGACTCTTAACAGAACACTGTTAGTGGTACCTGGTGGGTCTGTCACATATCTCCACCAGCGACGAGTCCTCCTGCTTAAAGGATGTGGCAAGCAGAGCCTCTGTATTATGAAATAGATATACAGCTGTATTAGAATGCATGTTTAATCTATGACAGCTTAAAAATAGGTGAACCTCTTTGCAAAAGAATTATGTATAATGTGTGTTGCAATATGATTACAAGGAAGATGGTCTGATTTTTTTTTTTCATGGTTTTCAGAGAAACTCAGAACTATAATTACTAATACTAAAATTACCCAGGTTATTTTTAATAGCTAGCCCAATTATCCTTCACTGTTTTGTAAATCAGAGATGGTATGAGATCAGTAATTTCTGTTGAGGTGTTTGATGTGTGACTACTGTTGAGATTTGGAATTGTGATCTATACAAAATACCTCACAAAGGACAGTTATTAAAAAAATGTAACATTGATTGTCTCGGTTTCACCCAGGAAAGAAATTGCCCTTCTTTGTGCAATTAATCTGGGGACATGTGTGCTGTTTGCCTTTCCAGATGCTACTTTGTTCCTTTCTGGTGACTTTAAAAAAATCTAAAATCTAATATGAAGCCATTAAAAATGTCAATGTATGTATATCTTTGGCTGTGTCTGACTCTCTGTTATTAAGTGCATAGCTCCATTAAGTGCATAGTTCTTAGAATTTTAAGTCCGTTATTCCTGTTCACCATGCTGAAAACCCACCATTAAATTATTGTTATTCTTTGCATCCATCTTTCATTTTTCTAGTTTTATTCCTTCAGAAGTAAAGTTGCTATGGTATGACAGCGATGGGCAGCAAAACATTCAAATGTGTGTATTTGGGTAGGATCACATTATCTAGATACTATATATTGTAAAGATTACATTGAGGGCTTTTCTTGGGAAAAGCTATTGCATTCACCAAGGCTCTGTACTAAACAGAATGATTGTAGCAGGTGTGACTGTAAAGATGCTCATGTTTAATTTAAGATGTATAATTCTAGTGTTCTGTATTTAGAATGAGTTTAAAACTATACTCCTGCCTGATGCAGTAATTAAGGTATTCAGCTTTGGTTTTCAATAATATGGTCCAGTTCCTACATTCACAGTTAAAATCTCATGGTACTTCATGGGTTGTTTCTGTTTCTCAAATCCATGCACCTGGTATAAACATTTTATGAATTTTTTTTAAGTGCATCACTCAGATACATGGTATTTTGCCTATAAATGACAGGTTTAATGCTGAATGACTAATATCCTGTAAAATAACAGAGCTAGAGAGAACATTTTAAATAAGAATGTTTTAATACTCCATAGCGCTTGGAGTTAATGCATGTATCTTGCCTACATCTACTGCAAATATCAACACATACTGTTCATCTCTTTTCTGTTGTTGTTTTTGTCTATTGCTACTTTATGCATGACAAAGTTCTTGTTTTCTACTCTGTGCTTGGCTGGCTTTTTCTTTTTTTTGTTACTTAGTCCTGTGTCTGTACTGATTGCTTTTTTGCATGCAAATTACAGAATGTCATGGAAATGAGAGAGCTCTGAAAAAAAAGGAAAGATAATGCTGAGTTCCAACTGTCTTTTGTTTGTGCGTAAGTGTGTAAAATATATGACGTGGAAAAATTTTCAGAATGGCCTTTGACTTTCCTTCTGGTGGATATTTTTATTACTCAGTAAAGAAGCGGGCATTTTTCCCCTTGGATAATATGATGAATCTAATAATGCCTGTTAATGATATAGGTGCTGGGCATGAAAGAATTTTGTCTTGCCATCCATTTATAGAAATAAGGAATTATGATACTGTGTGTCTTGCCCAAGCTAAAACTTCAATTCCATATTGAATGCAACTTTTATATACTGTGCGCAAAACCCTGGCCCCATTGAAATCAATGGCAAAAATCATTGTCTTCAGTTGGTCCAGGATTTCACTCATGTTCGTAGTTTACATATAGATTTTCACGTTTCTTTAAAAATATCTCAGCAGGTAGTCAAAGGTTTCAAGGGAGTCTACAGTTTTATTTAAAAGAGAATGTAATGATTGTGTCAAAAATCCCCCCAAAATGCCAAGCCCATGCTTATCTTGGTAAAGCATGAGCTTAAATGGTTGAACTTAGAAATGTCAATTACCATTTCATAGAAAATTTTGTTTTAACCAACTGTCAAGACATTTATTAGCCACCTTATTGCATCAAATGCAAGAGGTAATCTGGCAGTTCTTGTCTCCACTATTCCTAATAACAACAAAAACAATTAAATTAAGTGGATAAATATAGTTTATGGTGGGTATGCTTTTAGTAAACAAGCTTTGATTCTTCATTTAAAAACAATAAAGCACTGGGCACTCTCTGATTCTTGTGCTAAATGTTTCTAATAACCATACCCCCTAGGGAAGGTTTTGCTGTGATGTTTGAAAAACTTAATGAAAAATTTGTTGTTATAAACTAAGATTTTCCTCCCTGCAAATGTTTTTCTTGAAAAATCCACGGGAATTTAATATTCACTGTTTTTTTTTTTTTCTTCAGTCTTGTATATTCTTGAATTGTCTTTTTTCCTCCATTTTCTCCGTTCTCAATCCTAGGTCCCCTTACAAAGAAACAGACAGATGATTTAGGTGATAATGACGGTGCTGAAGATGAAGGTATTTTTTTGCCGCCAAACTGATTTGCATGACAAGGATCCCTGAAAATCTTTTTTCTCCCCTCTTTTTTTGACTTCTTGTCTTCTTTTGAAGAGGTTTTTTTTAATTCCCATTTTTGATGTGTTTTGTCTTCTTGCTTGTTGTTATACATATATATTTTTAATTTTTTAAAAGAAAGAATGTTGTTAAGTTCTACATTTTGATACAAAACAGTAACAATACTTAAAGAGAAGGGGTTTTTGTTTTCTTGAAATGGACTTTTGATATGTTGCATCCTACCTTTTGACTGAATTTTGTCCATACTATTTAAACTAACACTCTTTAATTAAAAAGTTTCTCTGTACACCTTTTTGCATGTTTTCTAACCCTATGTATTTCACCAAGTACAAAGATGTTTCTTTTTTCACTGACTGATCTCAGTTTGATAAACAGAAAATGTTGTGTTTATAAAAGGAAAAATACAGAAAATTCTTAGAAAGTGTCTCTTAAGCAACTGAACTTCCTCAAATACAAAACCTTCTTCATTTACATTGCCATGAGCAAATATAAATAAATGCAAGACTAAGCCACCTCCCTGTAGAAGAGAGGCAGCCCTAGAACAGTAGGCAATATCTGTAGTTGGTGAGGCTCTGTGCAACACCATTGAATTCAGTGGAGCTAAACTGATGTAATCTAAAAGAATCTGATCCCTTCTGTTTTCTACAAGCATATAAAGATGCCTGTCTGCTTGTGCTGACCCTTAGAAAATTCTATTACCAAGTAAAATCAAAAGTTTGAAATGTCAGGTATATTATTCTGTTTATGAATTATGGCTATTATCATATCAGCTTTGCAGATTTTATATTTTTTCAGGGCTATGAAAATGGTAACGAGGGGCTCTTTCTCCTGAGCAGTCTCTTCCCTTCAAGTTGATGTGCTTCAAAATTTTGAATCTTAAACACATACTTTGTATATTTTATGGTCAATGAGTAAAACAAATTACTGTATAAGGCTGGTAGAGTTGCTACCTGCTTATCTGTTAGCATCTGGGGGTTTTGTTACCAGATACTAAGATGAAGCTTAACTTGTAAACTGCAAGTCTCTCAATTAAGAAATACTTCATCACACAGAACATTAACTGTTTAACTCGAACAGAAGTGTGCAGTCTTATCACAAAAGATTAAAGGCAAATATGAGCATATAACTTCTTACCCAGTAACTGAATAGAAACTTTATAAATAAAGCCACAAATTTGTACATGTCTGATTTACGATCCTGTACTGAGTGTGCATGTTAAGCGTATGAATGAAAACCCAAGAGTTGAAAGACGAACCTAACGGAAAATCTTCTTTGAAAGCTCTCATATTGTTATAGAATCATAGAGTGGTTTGGGTTGGAAGGGACCTTAAAAATCATTCAGTTCCAAGCCCCCTGCCATGGGCAGGGACACCTTCCAGTAGCCCTGGTTGCTCATCCAGGCTGACCTTGAACACCTCCAGGGATGGGGCATCCACAGCTTCTCTGAGCAGCCTGTGCGAGTGCCTCACCACTCTCACAGTAAAGGATTTTTTCCCGGTATCCAATCTAAATCTGCACTCTTTCAGCTTAAAACCATTACTCCTCCTACTATCACCACACTCCCTGATAAAGAGTGCCTCCCCAGGTCTCCTGTAGGCAGAGCTAAGTATGATAATTCAGATCCACTTAGCTCCAGGAGTCATTTTTACATTAGTTCATGAAAAATATTGTAAGGGACATTCTTGTGTATTCTCCAAGACCTGTGATATTGAATTAGCCATTGTAAAAGTTACTCTGTCTTGTTTTAACATATGTTTTAAGAAACCATTTAAAACCTGGGTTATTCATCCAGTGGACCTTAATGGCTCTCCTAAATTGCTGTATAATTGCCAAGACAGATGCTAATGGCTTAACATTTGTTGAGTCTTCCTTTGCTTAGACACACTTAAAAGATACTACTTGGTTTGCTAAAATTCAGCAGAGAGTGGTTGCTATCAGAAAACAGTTTAGTATGTAGAATCAGATGAGAGCAGGGATCTCAGTCTTTGGAGAACAAGTGTCTGTGTCAGAGAAAACCAGTCTCCCACATTGATAATTGTAGGAGAGAGAGAAAGGACTGTAAGAACACAGCAGACATACTAAGGGGGAAGAAACATATTTACAACATTAATAAATCTCTGTAATTTATAGGACTGGGATTAATTTTCTCAGGCACACAAGTGGCAGTTTTGTTCTCCATTCGATGCCAAAAAAGAATGCAGGCAGTAATTAGACTTTCACTGCTTATGAGAGTCGCAGAGAGACAGGGAAAATTTAAATTTTTATGATCAGTAGACACCGAAGGCTGCCGAGATGTCTGCTGTGCTGGTAGAAGCCCTGCCTGCTGAGGCCCTGCATTTCACTGGCCCTTGGTAGAAGAGTGGTGTCAAATGCCCCGCATGGTGTTTTGTGAACCTGCTCTTCTGCACTGGAGTTATAGCATTTGTTGCACATGCAGAACTGAAGAGTTCACGAACTTCAACTCTCATGTATTTGAGTATGAGTAGCAGGAAAGAGAGAGGCAAAGCAAGAAGCCACCTTAGATGTCTAGATTTCTGCTAACCTGTCCATCAGTCCCCTCACCTTTTGCAGTACGGTAGTTTTTACTCAATATAAAAAAATCTATTGGTGGATAACTGGGGACAAAATAAAACAACTACCAAACTCAATGAATTATGAGGTTGGAATATTAGCAAGATTGGTCTGTACACAGTGAAAAACAACTGTGTCATATAACCGTAGAACCCATGCTACATAAACAATGTCCAGTGATTTCTAAAATACCCAGCATGGTCTCTGTATTAAGAAATTCAGAGCTCCCATGTATGTTTCTTGTATTATACCTTTTCTGAAGAAAGATCTTTTGTAGCAGCTTTTTGTATCAAATGCATGGAAAGTATTCTGTACTGTGTCACTCAAACATCAAAGTTTGATCAGAAGATTTCATTTTAAAACAGTGTTCAGTAATCATACTCCCATCTGCTGCTACATGTCACTGCCACAATACTGCAGTCCAAACCTTGCCAGCACAAGCACTGGAATCAGTAATCAAACTTGAATCTTTTGTATGTGCTGCAACCACTAGACCAGGCTTAATTAGATCATTTTTCATTTTTGTTTTCAAAAGACCCAAAGGCAGTAGTGCACATTACCAGCTAATGATCTGCAAATTTGCTTTTTAAAAAATGAAGGTGTTTTCAAATTCTATGAGCGTGAAATGTGTGAAAAATCAGAAATTATATAAATACCATTTTTTTCCCCCAGTCCAGACGCATTCTTGTTTCTGTGTAACCCTTTCGTGTCTACACTTGAAATTGCTTACCTGGTTTTCAATAAGTATTGAACTACCCAAGCAGGCACCAAAAACAAGAGTGGCAAAAGCACCTGCAAGCAGTGAGCGCTGGTGTTTTCCCTTTTTATAGCGGTGGTGGATTTGCCTATTTGCTGACATGCGGGTAAACAATACTGAGTGTAGATGCAAGATTTAAGTTTCTCAGCAGTGGGGAATAAACCATACCTCCCCCAGTCTAGAAACAAGTCTTTTAAAAAGTAAAATATTTCAATCTTAATATCTTATCTGGGTCTTAATTTTGGTAAGGTAATAATTAAAAATTTGGCTATAGCAAAAATTGGTGACTGTTTATGCACCCTTAGTTCCTACATGCTAAAATCCTTAGCGTGACTTAAAATACAGCAACACAAATCGTTAATCAGCCTGTGTACTCAGGGATCAGAACTGGACTTCTGGGTAGTTAGTGCTGTATGAAATATCCATGAAGGATTGCTCACAAATGAATTCTCATCCACCATTCTGTCTTACATACCTTATCTAGCACATCAGTCTGTCAATCTTAGATCCTTATTTAGTCCCCAATGCTATTTGAGCGTCTCTCAATTTTTAATGTATTCAGTCTCACAGCATCCCTCTGCGATAGAGGAATGCTATTATTCCATTTTTAGAAATGAGAAATACAGACACTAATTTTGAGGAATGCAGACACCATGTTCATAGGAAAGCAGGGAACTGAGTATGTGCCTCAGAAGTGGGGTCTGCACTGTGATTGCTTGATGTTTCTGCTCTTCTCTTTTCCATTCCACTCTCTCCTGTGAAAAAGGAGACAGATTAGGAACAGATGTTGCTGTTTGTTCACAGGCTGTAACTGTGATGATTCTGCTCATTTAATCTGATGCTCTGTCTTACATGGGCTATTGGACTTCATTGACTGAAGGAAGATCTTGGTTCAGAGCATATTTTAAATCAAAACAAACAAATCCACTCAAATTTTAAATTTCTGATGATGCAGAATGCATCTGCAAATCTCTTCTGATGCTTAACAGACTGTAGCGTCATGGGTGCAAAAGAGCACATTTCAGAATTGAGGATCTTCTCCAAAAAACCCTTATCGCTCTATTAGTATTAAAATAGACTAGGTTCCTAAGTTTAGTATTTCATTTGCTTTCAACTGCCGTGGTAAGAAATAGGGACAGAAACTCTCTCCTTCTGGCACTAGTACATTTTTGGACTTCAGAGATCAGTAAACAGCATAACACATTTGTCTACCTTGCAAAGCAACCACATGCTCCAGCCTTAATTATAGTCTCTAATGAGTTCCAGCCAGGCTGGAGTGGCAGGGATCTTACCACTTTGGGTGAACTTGTTGACTGATAGAGACATATTCGTGATTCCCGTCTATCCTGTCACCCATTCATGTTAGTTTGTGATTCCAACTCCCAAGCACGGATTCCAATATAAGTATTTTCCCTTTGCACTGAGAACCTCAGTTCAGGTTATCTTGACTTTTTGTGGTGAGTTTATTAATACTTGAAAATATGCATAGTAAAAATTCTGACAGACCTTTAATTTAGGCACCTCTTTAGGACTCCAATATACTTTTAGCATTGCCAAGCATTGCTTGTGCAGTGAAGAGTCTGTCAGCTTTTGCATTTCTAACCGTCATCTTTTAATAATTTAAAATTGCTACCTACCTGGCTCTTGAGGTCCTACTCTAATGACAATCTGCTCCAGATGCTTACCTGTAAAAGCATAGGTGCTTTAATGTTAGAATATACATTCATATACTCCTCCATCAGGATCTCAAATCACTTTCAAGTAAAGGTAGTTAAGTGTTTGAGAATACACAAAATGATCCATTGTTTTGACAGGCACAAAAACAAAAAAAAAAAAAGGGGAGTTCTATTTGTCTGAAACTCTATGGGTGCAGGCTATATTTTAAAATATGAAACATATCTAGAACTTTGCTGCTGCTCTTAACAGGAGTTCAGTAGGTACTTTAATAGTCTCAGGACATCTAGTTTTATATCACATTAAAAACATGGCATTAATGGATGTTTACATATTGGCACTGATAAGTGCACAAGCTTATTAAAGTAGCAGTGCATCTATGAGGCATCTGACAGATTTGAACTAAAAGGTCAAATACTTTCAAAAGGCTTTTAAATGATTAAGAGTTGCACCAATCGATACCATGCTCTACTTAAATGCTTTAGTACAAAATCTTATGGAAGCGCTACACATATATCCATATAATATTATCCATAAGGAATACATAAGTTTTACAGTAACCAATCTAAAAGTTTTCCACTGTTCCAGTGTTCTTTCATGTTCAAAAAATAAAATTTGCTTAATTCTTTACATCAAAATGTCGCAATTTTCTATAGCATTTAGAAAAACACAACTTGTGACATTTGTGTTAAACTAATTACATTTTTACATGCTCAGTCGTCTCCAGGTAGGCTTTTTTCCTTTCCCATTTGGTTGTTCCCAGCAAATTACACTTGTTAAGTCACGTGGCCAATTCACATCAGCTTCAAATGACTGAAGCTATAATTATGTTTTGTTATATATGACAATTGTGGCTGGTATTCACAGTCAGACCCGGTTCCCTGTTGTGTGATGTAGCAAACACAGAATAAAAGACAGCCCTGTTACCAAATTGCCTGTAATGTAATTAAGTCCAGATATAAAAAGTAGATGCAACAACCATTGGAAAAGGTACAGAAAAGAGGAGATGATGGAAATCATAAGAAGAAAGTTCATGTGTATGTCATATAAGATCATTTTCTGAAACCCACTCATATGTTTTATGAATTAGCAATTTAAAGCCAAACAAATCACACCACTCCAAACTTATCTTCTGTGTGGATAAAAACAGAACCGAGTTGAATATGAGAAGGATTTTGAACAACACTACCTCTGAATATGTTTTTGAAAATGTTCATGTGTCTGGTTTTTATTTAAAGCAACATATAATAGAAATGTAATAAAAAGTACAGTTTACAACTAAATTAAATCCGTACTTAAATCTACACTTCTTGGTGGAAATCTCACATTTGCTACTTCCACAAATAACTGTTAATCTTCATCCATGAATAATTATTAATCTGTGTGAGAAGGTGTAACTACAGTTTACTGAGAGCACTCCAGCACATGCACAAAAAGGAAAAAAAAGCTTGTAGGAAAAAAAATGAAGGACTTAAATCATTTAGGTTCAGGTTTTGAAAAATACAAGTGCCAAAATCTCAATTATTTTCTTTCTTGAGTTAGCCACTTATGTCCAATAAGCACTTTTTTAAAGTGCATCTTCCTGCCACTTTTCTGTGTTTCTCCTCGCAGAGTATTATCTTAATATTTCTTCTGTTTGAATTTTAAAGGATGGTAGTTTTCATGAGGGAACATTTACTCTCTTTCAGGTAGAAATCAGTTCTTGATTACAGTCTGGTTTTTTGCTCTCTTCCTTTGATCTTATTATTTAATAACATCCACTAGTTAATAACATCTTTACTTAAACAGTACTCCTACCTTTCAAATATTCCTAGCTAGAGACTGCAATTGATTTGGAACCCCTGAGTGTAAGACTGAAATGCAGTGATCTCTCCTTGTCACATGAAAAGCTCTGTAGCCCACAGTCCCACTACCCTCAGCTGAATGCTGCATAACCTCACAGATGTCTCCAGGACTAGATTACAGCCTGAAAAACACACGTAATTTTTCTTTCGTAGAAGGGCTTTCTCTTAAGAGTGATGACTTTGGTAAGGCAGCATGAGGAAAATTCATATTGCATGTCATCTGTTCGAGATGGCACGTAGGCAGAGCTGAAAATTAGTCTCTTTTTATCTGCCTATATTCTTTACAAGAAAATTAGTAATAGAGAATAATAAAAGTATGGTATAGACAGAATTTATTCAGAGAATCACTTCTTTATATGTCAGATTTTACTCATGAATGCATGCTTCATTTCTCAGATATAGGACACCCATTCTTTTCTAAATATTCCAATATTGTTTTCCAGATAAACAGGCTGGTACTACCAACATTTCATTACTGTTCACAGTCGGTGCTCTGTAATTCTATGTAATTTTAATTAAAGAAGGATTCTGAGACAGTTTCCCCCTGTGCTACCACCAAGCATACAATTAACTGTGTACAATTTCTGCTGGGAACAGTCACACAGTGATTTCGAATTAATAATTTATTACTGCTTCCATATTTTTATAAAAAAAAAGCATAGACTATGAACAAACAATCTACTGAAAACAGTATATGAATTTGAAAAGACTTTTTCTTCGGTGTAGATTTTAAACCTTAGGAAGTCATACTTCTAACATATGGACAACGAGGATAAATAATCTTAGCTTTACATTCTGAAAATTGTGTGTTGGAAAGCCCTTACTATATGCTTGAGTGAGGAGAGCAATACAAGCAATTTCATGCATAACTTTTCATCAGCCTTTTGGTCTTGAGTAAATGATTGTTCTAGTACTTCCAATATTGAAGATCCAATTTCTGATCTTGACCGTTCTGACATTTTCTTCAAATTAGAATCAATATCAAAATAATAGTAACTGGCTTTCTGTAAACAGGAACATCTGTGCTGATCTTTTTCAGCAAATTCAAAAAGCAGGACTTTTAGTGTAACTGCCCTCACCTAGTTGTCTTTAGGGTGCTTCAGAAACGATTAAAACAATTCTACAGAGAGCTTACTTGAAAGCTTTTTAACTAAAATTCCTCCAAATCAAAGGAGTAAACAATACATCTGAGGTTTCTTCAAATGCTGGAGTAAGTAATCAGAGAAGTCACTTGAATACTGTCATAATGACAAAAAATGTCTTCAAATCAGAATATGCAGTACAATTCCTCCCTGGCAAGTTTTCATATGCTCTTTTGCTGTTGTCTTTCTTGATTTTTAGGGACTGTTAGAATTGAATATTATGCCTTGGACAGTGGAAGAGACTTGGGTACCTTGTAAATGAGGTCAAAATACAACTTAATCTAGATGTAAAAGTTTAAATTTATACCTTAGCTGATTTCTTTCCAGACCAACAGAAAAAATATTTTTAAAAAAACATTATCCCACCACTAACTGTTGCTTCGAATTAGTACTTATGAAGCACTTCCTCACAAGGAGTAGTAGTGTTCAGATATTCAAAATTTTGTTCTGAGTAGATGCAACAATTTGAGTGAGGGAGGAATACCCTAATGCGTGTCTTCATTAAAAAGAAACTGAAAACGTTATGTCAATATCTAATTTTGTTGTCTGAGAGAATGACAGAGATGCTAAGATTTTAAATTTTTACCTGCGTTTGGCACCACTTTTAAGAACCTTACAATTTGTTTGAATGCAGGGTGGGGATTTATAAAAACTGTTCCAGGCAGCTCTTCTTTTCAAATATAAGATACAGTCCTTTTCATGATTGAGTAAAATAAGAAGCTCCTTAAACTACAGGCTGGCCAGGTTACAAATAATATCCATTTGAATTCTAAGTGTTAAACAGCTTCCAAATACTTTTTGAAAACTTAGACTTCAAATCTATCAAAAGACAGCAGTTTATGCCCCCTTTTTATAAATTATTGATCTTACTGTACTGGAAGCAATCAACAATTTATGTATGAGCAGAAATCTTGTCTATCTTAATATGGTGAATTGCCTTTAACTAAGTGAACAGAAAGATGGAGTGAGCTTTCAGAAGTGTTCAGACTTTGCCTAAATGAGCTCACACTGATGTTAGTAGACATTTTATGTCAAATTCAG